ACGCTTTAAAGTCATTAAAAAGTTTGAGAAGGCGAGCAGATCCCTTATAGTTATATTGGTGAGGATCCTCAATTGTTAACTTTTTTTTTTAAAAGAGTCGAAAAAGTTCACTAAAGAGGTGTGTTCACACTTGGACCAATAATATTACATGATGTTTATTTGCCACAAATAAAACTACATGAGGTTTATTAGCAATCGGGTGATGCTATAAGGGTCTATTCGCAATTAACCCTTACTAAATTTATGGGGGCAAATATAATTGTGTATACCTTTTAATAGATAATCTTAAAATTCTACATGGGTAAGTACCCCCAAAATCCACTATAAGAATCCGTCTCTGCATGTGGCATCTGTTAATCATTTCTAACAAATTTCTCTTTAAAACAATTATTATCCATGCTTTTCTAGATTTCGTGGTATTAACTATGAACTTGTTTCTATTATTTTTTGGTTTTCAATGAGAAATGTGTTCATTTTTGAACAGCTGCTTCTTAAATTATAATATTACCACAATACGCATATGCATTGCGACACCATAGTGGTGGTACTAATTCACGGGCATGACACGGGTAACAACTAGTTTCTTTTTGTGATTTTTTTAAATGAAAAATAAATATGAAGCGGAAACTCATTCTATTGTATTAGTTATCAAAAGACGAACCAGTAGTACGACCTATTTGTTAGTCATGCGAGCATATAAAATCTCATCATAATCTTCAAAAAAAAAATGTCATCATAATCTCTCCACAAGTCATTTAATGACGAGGTGTTAGCTAATGATTAGGGTAAAAGATTTCCAAAAATATCCGCGAACCTTTGCCCCATTTGAGTTAACCCCCCTTCTTTAGCTCGTCCAAACCTCTGGGACGTTCTCCCCATAAGTTTAAGGGAAAATTGCTTCTAGCCCCCAATTTCCTTACAAGTATTCCGCTCCCTCTCCCCACCTCAAAGATTTTTTCAACTCTCCCAAAACCCTCAAAAACAAAGTCATAATTTCATGAGCCTCCAAAACACAAAACCTAAGAGATTAAACATGTGAAGACCATAATACCCCCTTATCTCTATGATGTTAATGTAATGATTTGAAATGGATTTTTTCTTTTTTTGGAGGGTTTTCTGACGACGTCGACATCAACGGTAAAACATTTCCGGCAGTTGTTCATGAGGTGAAGAAAAGGCGGGAACTCTGGTGACTCAAGGTGTAAATTTTTCCCTATTTTAACTTGTACTTGAATCTGAGTGCTATATTTTTTTATTATTTTACATATTATTGTAATTTTTTTTGAAATTGATGAATTGAGATTAAAGTAGAGTATATAAATTTATATATTGTTGTTATTTCACCGTAATGAGTTTGTTGTTAAGCTTATGAGTTGGTGGTAAAGGAATCTTACGTGTTGGTTTTGAAGGTTATGAGTTGTTTGTGAATTTTACAAGTTAGTTGTCAAGTTCACGATTTGGTTGTGAAGTTTACGAGTTGATTGTAAAGGTTATGAGTTGTTTGTGAAGGTTACGCATTTGTTGTGAAGGTTACGAGTTTGTTGTGAAGGTTACACGTTGATTGTGAAGGTTACGAGTTGTTTGTGAATCTCGGTTAGGATTGATTGTGAAGGTTACGAGTTGGTTGTGAAGGTTATACATTGGTTGTGAATGTTATGAGTTTGTTGTGAAGATTACGAGATGGTTGAATATTATGAGTTAGTTGTGAAGGTTACGAGTTGTTTGTGAAAGTTATGAGTTGGTTGAGAACCTCGGTAAGGAGTTGGTTGTGACGGTTACGAGTTGGTTATGAAGTTTAGTTAACAACAATCACAATCAACTCATTGTCGAGGTTCATAACCAACTCGTAACCTTCACAAATAACTCGTAACCTTCGCAACAAACACATAACATTCACAACCAATTTGTAACCTTCACATCTCGTAACCTTCACAACCAACTCGTATCCTTCACAACCAATTCATAACCTTAACAACCAACACGTAACCTCCACAACCAACGCGTAACCTTCACAAACAACTCGTAATCTTCATAACCAACTCCTAAGCTTCACAACCAACTTGTACCATTGGCAATAAACTCGTAAACTTTACAACCAACTTGTAACCTTCAAAACAAACATGTAACCTTCCTTCACCACCAATTCATAAACTTAACAACAAACTCATTATGGTGAAATAATAACAATATATAAATTTACACACTTTACTTTAATCTCAATTCATCGATTTCAAAAAAATTACAACAATATGTAAAATAAAAAAAAATATAGCACTCAGATTCAAGTACAAGTTAAAAAAAGGGAAAAATTACACCGGGTCGACGGAGTTCCCGCCTTTTTTCTTTGAAATGGCAATGCAACTCGTCATCACCGTTTTCAAGATCGCAGTTTTATTCGCCTCATGAATGAACGCTGGGAAAGTTTCACCGCCGATGTCGCTGATGTTGGAAAATTTTAAAGGGAACTAGAATTTTTACCCCTAAAACCCATCTCAAATCATCACAATAACATCATGGAGAGAGAGAGAGAGAGGATATTATGGTTTTCACATGTTTTAAACTCTTGGGTTTTGTGTTTTGGGAGCTCAGTGAATTATGACTTTGCTTTTGGGGTTTTTGGGAGCGTTGAAAAAGTCTTAGAATGGGGGATACTTGTAAGGAAATTGGAGGCGAGAAGCAATTTCCCATGAGTTTAAACTTCCTTCAACATCCTCCAAACGGCATAGCTTCTCAAGGGTAATTTTCACTAATTAACCGCAATGAAAAATTGGAGGTTACGTTGTTTTGGGGGATGTTGAAAAAACTTCAAAACTTATGAGGTTTTGTGGATGCTCCCAAACTTTTTGGGGTTTAAGTGATAGTCTTAAAAGTAAGGATCTTAGCTCAAAATGAATCTAATGTGAAAGGGGTTTGTAAATTTTGGGATGTAATAACAGCTGAAGAATAAACCTTCAATCAGGAAAACGTGGGAAAATAGACTATAAATTTGTAATCCTAACTCACACAACAATTTCAAAGTTAACATGTGCATTTTACATCTCGCACATTTTTAAATAACAAATTTAAACTTCTTTTTTTTGGATCAAAAGGAAGCTCATATTTCAATCAGATTATGAATTATACACAATCCACATCAAACAAATCAAAATGTTAGAACCCACTCAAATTCAAACGAGGGAGGGATAAAAAAACCCACCAAAAAAAAAAATTTACACACCTCTCACAAACACTCAAGTATTCTCCTCAATAGTAT